CCTTCATATTGGTCTTGCTACTTTTGCTCGCGGGTGTGTGCATGTGTTAACGCCTAAACGCAATGATGGTCCTAAATCAGAGTGATCATAAAGAGGCTAATGTCAGGCTCTGGTCATCAAGGCTTAATGAACTAAGAAAAGGCCCTGACCGAGACTGTGTAGGTCCGTAAGCAAGTATGGTTGAGATGTGAGCTTGTATGGGTGTCAGGTTACGAAATTTAGATATAAATGGATATATAAAGATTTGGCTATTTTTTATACTCAAGTGTGTGAATACTTGGTTATGTGTTAAAGTCTGTACGCAGAACGGGCCATAACTCAGAGTAATTAGAAAAAAGCTTAACATCAGTCCCGGGTCATCAATGATCAATGACCTAAACGAAATAATGATCGGAATTGCGTTAGTCCGTAATTAATTCCGGTTGAATTGATGCGATTTGTTGCCTGTACGTGTGAAAGTCATGTTACGAAGCCACCAGTCAAAATCCGAGGGAGGATGTCTCGAGAACTGTGTCAATCTAAACATCGTATTAAAACCAAACGGCTGCACTAAAACAAAAATCAACCATCGTCTTCTGGTGAACTCGATCTACGAATCTCTTCATGCACTCTCGCACGAAATGAAAGCCTCCACATCGTAGTTACTTACTGCCAGTATGAGTAAGGTTCGAGGGTATCAGTAATTTTTGAGTAGTAACTTGGTCAGCTTGCGTTGCCTAAATTTGCTCTAAGACCCTCCTACCAAAGAATTACAGAAAATTTAGAGAACCACTACCGAAAATAGGCAGGACAATCCAGTCAAGACGAGCCCAAATCTGAACTACTTTTTCATTTTTTCATGGGTACCTTAATTATTAGGCATCCAGGCACTTAAGTGACCTACTATATATGCATCCTTTTCCTCACTTTGCTTCATTGACTTTTTCGCACGCTACCAACAGCTCTAAATCATCTTCTAGACGGCCAGATAAGAAGACACGTATCTGGTTTTTTAAACTTTATTTCTTAATGAAAGTCCCAGGCCTATTAAGCCTGATTTGTATTTGTTATTTTCTTCAAATCCTTCGTCCTGGCTAGACGGTAGCAGCTAACCCCGAGGAGCGTACTAACTGGGCGGCGAGTGTGACACGATGGCTGGATACTCATCGGCCAATCTATCTCAGGCCATCTTCCCCAGTAGAGTTAAACCATGCTACAGGAGTCATGGACACCACCGCTGTCATTAAAAGCAACGAAAACGCTGTCGAAAAGACGAGCAACAGTAAGAATTCCAGCCTCAGAGAACAGGACAACAATAGAAACAGCAATAGCGGACGCACCATACATTTTGCTTCCCGTTCTGGCGCCAAAGAGGGCTCCGATTGCGACAATCACGAACTCTGTACGGAGACGAGCCCCGGAAACACTTTAATTTCAGGGTCGTTTGGTGCTAAGCAATACGCTTGCCCTGGGGTTAGGAGCAAAGATGGTATCGCCACTCCTGAGCCCCCAATCATTTGGGACTGGACCCTCAATCCAACACAATGGCCGGCGGAACAAATTTTGGTTCTTCTGAACAGGGCGGCAAGCAACGAAGATACCTCCAATTCGGCAGTTTGGCGCAACGGAAAGGCAGCTACGGCCAGCTCGAGGAGATCTCATTCACGTGGCCGGCCCGGAGGAAGGGATAGTAGGTTAATGTTTTGTTGTATATACAAAGAATCTTTGAAACTCTTCATCATGTACTTCCATACGACCGGAAAGTCTTCATATTAGTGCTTTTTCATCGCATTTTCTACTTATTCACAGACGCCACCTAGTTTCTGATGATCTTCAGACCTCGCCTCAGGAAAAAACCTTCCTTATTTTGATAGTACC